AAAAAAAAAAAAAAACGAGAACGATTCAGATCATTAGTGAATAATCTGTTTTCCACTTGGAAAATCAAAATCGAAGATTCTAACGTCAGATTTCAATAAAATATCGGATTCGAAAGTAGATTGCCATCCTATTGCACGTTTCATTTGCACGAACCTAACGTTATTCGATCTTTGAATACTTAATGACGCGTCCTGTGGTAAAATTCTCCATTTGAAGTAATGTCGCAAGATTCAATCGGAAAATTGGATTCATATTGACAGAGGGGGCATGAAAATTACCAAGAGAACTGCATTATCGATTAAAAAAGCCTTTTGTGCGACTTCAATGGGAAAGAAATCTCATTATGGAATCTCTTAATCGAAAAGTAAATTCTGCCTAATTCTTTCTAAAAACCGACTTCATCCGACCGTTAATACTTTAATGATGTACACATTGGTACACCTCGCGCTACCAATATCTTTGATTTCTCGTAACAAGCTTTTTAAAGTGTATCGTTATTTGTTCGTATAAATATGGGGCAAAAAAAGAAAAAAAAGAAACGTTTTGTTAAAGGATTGTAACAAAATAAAACAGGCATATCTACTTTGTAGAAAATATCCAGACAATGAACGAACGAAGAAATCTGCTTTCGTAGTAATTTACAGAGGATAACGGAATGGTGGCGTTTATAGTAAAAGCAGAGAGGAAGAAAATTGTCCGACCGTCGAATAAAAAAAAAAAATAATTATTTTCCAAGAAAATAACGAGAGGAAGAATATTTTATTACTATTTATTCTCGTATTAACCTTGACGGTATATTTTCATCCATTGATTTGTTAAAATTTCTGATCGTTGTCGATACCAATGTAATAGATCGATAGATAATGAACGATGAATAACAGTTTTATGAATATTATGAAGGAAATCTTTCTAATTATTTTTTTTCTCTTAATGATATATAATCTATATACGATGGTGTTTGAAAAATGTTATCAATTAATTTTTAACTTTTGATAATATATAATTTAATTTCTGTCTGTGAAAGGAGAGAAGATTTCGCGATCATAGCTCGAAAAACTTAATAATAAAGGCAACTGTTCCTTCTATCTTCGTAATGCATCAAACAATTAAGGAAAAGAAAAAGCCGTGGCCAGTTGTAAGAGGCAGAATAATTGTCACTGTTGCTCGCGGACGAACGTTTTGCATGGTGGATTATTAAAATTCCATACTTGTGGACGGATTCAAGGTTTTCTTAGAAGAAACCTTGAACGTAATTCGTATAATTAACTCAAAGTGCGTCAACACATCTTTTGAAAGTCGACTATTTTCGGTACTGCGTAAACATCTCTCATTTGCATCCAGTCTCCACGTTTTCATTTAAAATAGTACAATTTTTTCTTCTTCTTTTGGCCTAGCAAAAAAGATGAATAGATCCGATTAATAGATCCGATCATGTTTAATTTGCGTCCATATTCTCGTAATCGCGATAGATTACGAAAAGAATTGGATTACGTGTCGATAAAATGATGGAAAATAATAAAAAAAAAAAAAGGGAAAAAAATTATCGAGAGCGGAAAATTCATTCATCGAGCAAAAGTCGATCGAAACTTTTTTTTTCTAATCTCGTTTCCTGTTCACTTGGCAACGAGAGTGTGTTGCATCGGAAGAAAGCATAATCGTATCGTGTCTGCACGCTAAATAGAACCATTCGTTGAGCATTAAACCCATCTGGCGTTATATTCTCGACAAGTTTGGCAACTGTTTTCACCCGGGTATCGATCACCAAGTTTGACCTGGCATGCCGAAACGATATGCGTCGAGGAACAATGCGGTAAAAGATTCATCGCATGGAAATTTGAGAAAATTTCGTTTGTCAACCGGAAATATTTATCGTTACGACATTGTTTTCGATTTTGATTTAATAAATGGAGGATATAATTATCCAAAACGATGATATTCGCGTAATAATTTCTTCGAAGGGAAGAATTTTCTTTTTCTTTTCTTTTTTTGAAAATATAATCTCATCGATGATGAAACAAACTCGTTTGACAAATATCATTATCACTCGTCGAGGAACAATGCGGTAAAAGATTCATCGCATGGAAATTCGAGAAAATTTCGTTGTCAACCGGAAATATTTATCGTTACGACATTGTTTTCGATTTTGATTTAATAAATGGAGGATATAATTATCCAAAACGATGATATTCGCGTAATAATTTCTTCGAAGGAAAGAATTTTCTTTTTCTTTCTTCTTTTCTTTTTTTGTAATCTCATCGATGATGAACAAACTCGTTTGACAAATATCACTCGAAGGAATATCGTACGAGAATCGTTGAATCACAGAATCAATCTTGTTTTAATTGATAAATTTCCCTTGGCGAGACAAAATATTATGAATATTATTATGAACATAATATCATTGATACGCTTCGATAATGGATACCGATTATGTTAACAATTGTCCAGTGTGTTAATAATAATAACAGGCAAATTAGACATTAATCAAGCGTGTAGATTCAGCTTTTCATCCGTCCGTTGCTAAGATGTGTTACACGCATCACGTTTACATATAACCTGAATCTGGATTCAGCCAAAGTGATTGCTTAATTAATTTTCACCGGTACGGTTGGAGCATTTATCTTGTATCTAGATAAAACGACAGGCCGTGGTGCATTTTAATTAAGCCTCGATGCCACGAATTTATCGCACAGAGTTGGCCGCACATGACGTACCTGCCAATGAAATATTTTTCCCAATATATTTATATATTTTTTAGAAACGTATTTAACAAATATTATTTTTCTCTTATTTTCAATTTTTAAAGTTTTTTTTTTTAATATCCTTATCGATATTTTTTGTTAATAATTATGATTCAAAATGTAATAAATTAAAATTGATTAGAGTGTTGTTATTCGATACGAGTTTTATTCAAACGAATTTATAGACAGACATAAATATATCTGATAAGAAGAGTAATTCTTAATTAGAAGTTCTTATTTCCCAGAATATAAAATTGGATATTCAGTAACTACGTGTTTTATATTCTTCGACAACTTCCTGCAATTCTACCCATTACGAAACACGAAACGTACTCTACACGAAGGTACGCCGGCCATATTGTAGACGTATAACATCTTCCATACAACCTATATTTTATTATTCTCCTAATTTCTCTTTCAAAAGATTTTCATTATTTAATATACCTAAATTACAAATTTGAAATTTCATAATTTGAAATAATATTAAAAATCTTCTTCAACATTTCTTCAATTCATATCGTCTCTGACGTGTTATTTTTCCTTAAAAAAAAAAAAAAAAAAAATTGTAGTACAAATTCATTACAAACGCTCGTCTCGTCGATCAGATCAGGTATTCGCCAATTCTTCAAATCATCGATGTAAAATTTTCTCCTTGAGAAGCTGGAAGAAAAAAATGTTGAAAAAAATATCTAAAATCCTTGCATGAGCTTCTTTCGCCACGAAGGAACGGGCACGGGCCGTTGCCTCGTTTTATTCTATCTGCACTGGTTAGTATAGCTAAGTTAACGGTCGTGTCCTTCGACCACGCAGGAACCAGACCGCCTGGTTCGCCCTCGCAGAATCTCCTGTGTGTTCGTTTGGACACGCGATCCAATGCAGTCTG